CTCTGCACACCTCTGACCACACTGTGCACAAGCAACTTGACCAACCCTTCAGTGGGAGGCGAGACCCACAGGGCGGGCGGGCGGGCGGGTGGGGTTCATGGGGATGGAGAGGAAGGCCTAGCTGAGGGACACAATGGAGGCACTGGGAATGGAACTTCGAAAGGAGGGCTCCTCTAGGGCTGGGGCCGTACCCGATGGGTGGTGCACACACACAAATACACCCCCCCACCCCCACCCCTTTCTGTGTTCATCGGAAAGAGGACTCCTAGGGCTGGGGCTGTACCCCACGGTTGCCACACACACACACCCCTACACCCCTTTCTGGTTTCATGCATGCTGGCAGAAGACCAGGGGTCGGCCCCAGCCCTGCTGCCATCTGTTGGTGGCAGGGATCCAATGCAGGTTCCCCACTCAGAGAGAACCCCTGTGTCTTCCTCTATTGGAGATGAGGGGCTGCCCCAGGGGTACCTGCCGGGTTAGCGTAGCTCCGGTTGTACCGGACCTGGAAGCGGGTGAAGACCTCTTTGAGTTCCTGCGGCAGGGGCCCTGGGGCCTAGAAAGGAGAGAGGAGGTGTGACGGGGTCCTTGAGTCCCCACCTTGGCTTCAAGGGCGGAGAGAGAGGCCAGACAGCATGCTCTGCCTCTCCCTGTGAGCTTGGCCCTGTTGTCTCCCCTCCGGCCTCAGTTGCTCCCTCTGAGAAATGGGAAAGACGAGTCGGTTGTCCCCAGTAGGGCTGAGCCCCAGGCCTGGGGTGGCCTACGGAACGGGGCACAGGCGAGGGGCACTCACCTGGGCCATGAGGGAGGTCTGGATGCTGAGGACCAGGCCTGCCACCAGCAGGGCCAGCAAGCAGGACAGGGGGGCTGGTGGTGCCATGGTGGTAGGGCCAGGAGTGACAATGACAGGAAGTGCAGGGCCCAAGCTGGAGGACCGGGAGGGCGGAGCTGGGAACCACAGAGGGTACAGCCAAGATGGGGAGGGAGACCTCCAGGCTGCCTTAGGGTTCTGACTTGTGTCCCTGCCTGTCTCCCACCCACCCCTTCTTTCAACCATCTCTGTCCACCCACCCTATCCTGTGTGATGCTGGGCTCTGCCTCTGGGGACATGGGGAGACAGACCCTAGGTGGGCAGTGATGGTACATGGAATGGTGGGGGAGTGGGGGCTACGGGAGCTACAAGCCTCTGACAACTAGGCTGGCAGGTGGAGCCACCAGTGCACCTGGGAAAACTAGGAAGTCCAGGTGGCTCAAGGGTTACTTACCTGAAGAAACACCCTGTTCTCCAACCTCTGGAGACTAGAGTAGAGTAACCTGCTCTCCATATGACCCTCCCCACCAGGGGCCCGTGTCTACTTGACTTCTGCCACCCTGGGAAGTTCTTCACCTGTGTCCTCAGCGTCCAGGATGGGACCCGGGAAATGCTCTATGCTTGTTTGTCAACTGAACAAGTGAACATCTTGGTTTGTCAATAGAAGGGTAAAGGGTCCAGGATATAGCAGGCGGCAGGTGTCCTCTGTCAGTCAGCCAGGGCTTGGGGGCACAAAGACGGCAGGGCACCCAGCTGTCAGCCCACGGGTGGGCAGCAGTAAGGCCTACCCCACTGAAGCAAATTCTACCAGCCAGGTTACCCTAGTGGCGCCGTGGTTATGTGTTGGGCTGCTAATCACAAAATCAGCAGTTCAAAACTACCAGCTGCTCCTGGGGGGGAGGAGACAGTGCTTTTGTAGTTAGGTGCCATCGAGTCGCTCCGACCCAGAGCGGCCATGCACAACAGAAGAAAACACTGCACATCCCCGCGTTGTGCTCACAAGTGTTCCGCTGCCTGAGCTCATTGGCGCAGCCATGGTGATGGTCCATCTTGTTGAAGGCCACTCTCTTTCTCGCTGCCCCTCCACTTTACCAAGCAAAGTGTCCTTCTCCAGGGACTGGTCTCTCCTGACAACACGTCCAACTTATGTACGTCAAAGTCCAGCTATCTTTGTCTCTAAGGAGCACTCTGGCTGTACTTCTCCCGAGACAGATTGGTTTGTCCATGATACTTTCAAGATGCGTCCCCAGCACCACAATTCAAATGCATCAGTTCTTCTACGGTCTACCATACTCAACGTCCAACTTTTACATGCTTATGATGCAATGGAGAATTTCACGGCTTGGGTCAGGTGCACCTTGGTCCTTAAAGTAACATCCTTGTTTGTCTGCACTCTAAAGCGGGCTCGCGCAGCAGATTTACCTAATGCAGTATGTCTTTTGATCTCTTGAGTGCTGCTTCCATGATCACTGATTGTGGATCCAAGCAAGACGAAATCCTTGCCAATTTCAATCTTTTCTCCATATATCATGATGTTACCTGTTGGTCCAGCTGTGAGGATTTTGGTCTTCTTTTAATTGAGTAGTAATCTATACTGAAGGCTGTAATCCTTGATCTTCATCAGCACGTGCTTCAAGTCCTCCTCACTTTCAGCGAGCCAGGTGGTGTCATCTGTGTATCACAGGTGGTTAATAAGCCTTCCTCCAACCCTGATGCCACACTCTTCCCCACAGAGTCTAGCTTCTCTGTGGGATTTGCTCAGCACACAGATTGAACAAATCTGGGGAGAGGACACAACCCTGACACACACCTTTTCTGATTTTAAACCATGCAGCGTTCCCTTGTTCTGTTCACACAGAACCTCTGATCCAAGTGCAAGTTCCAAATGAGCACAATGAAGTGTTCTATAAAGTGACCCACAGTTTATGATGGTCCACATGCCACTGCTTAGTCAATGCAACACAAGTAAACATCTTTCTAGTATTCTCTGCCTTGGGCCAAGATCCATCTGACATCAGTAATGAAATCCCTGTTCCACATCCTCTTCTGCATCTGGCCTGAACCTCTGGCAGCTCCCTGTCAATGTCCTGCTGCAACCATCGTTGGGTGATGTGTTAGTCCGGGTAGACTAGAGAAACAAATCCATGGACACACATGTGTGTATAAGAAAGAGCTTTATATACAAGAGCAATTGAACATGGAGAAAACATCCCAGGCCAGTCCAGATCAAGTCCATAAGTCTGATATTAGCCTATATGTCCATACCAATCTATAAAGTCCTCTTCAGACTCATGAAACACATGCAATGGCGCCGAATGTAGAATATCACAGGCCAGTGGGTAGAAAGTCTTTGGATCCAGTGGCACTGGAAACATCTCAGCATGGGGAGGGGTCTCTGCATGGCTTCTCTGGTACCCAGGGCTACATCAGGGTGGCTCCATGTGTCTTGTCAGCTGCTGTCTCCCAGGATGTGAGCAGAATCTCCCACCTCCAAGGAGGAAAATCCAGCAATTCCCAGAATCCTTAGGGGAAGGCCATGCCCACACAGAGATCTCATTGACCATATCCTTATTAACAGCCTAGACTCCACCCCTACACGCTTAATCCTCAGACTGACAGCAGATTATGCAACTACTACCGCAAATGATTTTAAGAAAACCTTATGTAAAGAGCTGTAGTCCCTGAAACTCAGGGGCAGTTCGACTCTGTCCCAGAGGGTCAATACAAGTCAGAATCAACTGGATGCCTGCTGGCAAGTAGGGTTTTTTTGGTTTGGGGTGATGCTAGGACAGTCCCTTCCCCACTCTGAGTATGTCTAATTCCCAGAGTACCCCTCAAGGTGTGAGAAAGGGGGCTGGAAATCACAGTGTGTCCTGGCCTCTGTAGGTCACTGGGTTTGACACCTGAGAGGACAGAGTCCGTTGGCAGTAATGAAAGTGCTTAGCCTTTGGATGGCCTGAAATGGGAGCCAAGGCAGCTTTACAAATACTCAAGGCAGTCAACCCTGGGGTTCCTCCCGCCAGGACTGCTGAGACAAAATACCACGCATGGTAGGTAGCTCTATTTATTTATTTATTTTTGGTAGGTAGCTTTAACATGAAAGAAATGCGGTGCAGTAAGCTTGTGGAAAAATTCCATCCTCCCCTCATTCTATTTTCCCACCAACTTTTGAAGCCCCCCTGGGACAGGAAAGCCTGTGTAAGGCAGATGCCAGTCAGAGAAGCAAAATACGAGTATTTACCCCAAACAGAGAGTGGCATGGAAGTGGCGAGACTGCACCCAGTCTAAGGCAGGACCCTTTGAGACCCAGAAAGTGAGGCTGCCCTACTGAGTGCCGGCCGGCCGGCGGTCACAGGTCCCACTGTAGTTTGCCAGCAGGACCAGGTCTTTGCTGAAGACTCTGGTGGGGCATCGAACGCAGCTTCCACTCTGTCCCTGGACATCACTGTGACCAGAATGCGCCCCGCCCCACCAGGAGACAGAATTAACTGAAAGCCAAGGGTTGGGTTTTTTTTAATGGTATAAAAGCAGTACAACCTCATGTTCACACATGGCAGCTTCGTCAGAGACCTGATATCTAAACAAGGTCATGGTCACAGGAACCAGGAGTTCGGATTCCAGGGATACAGCCTAATCCATCAGAGTCCTCAGAGGATTAGTGGGATGGGGGTCCCCAGTGGACAGATGGAGAGGCACTGAGGCACAGAGACAGAGGGAGCTGAGCTCTGAACCCAGCACACGACACTGACCCTTCCATCCTCCTGCCCCTCTCCTGCTGAGGGTGAATTCTAAAGCCAGGTTGGAGGCCAAAGACCCCTCCCTAGGAGTGAAAGCGCTGAGACAGGGCAAATGGGGTCCCTGGGCTAGACTCTGGTGGGCAGGATGTCCAGGCTAGTCTGCGTCCAGGGGCGCCCCTCTCCCAACCTTGGAGGCCTGTTATGAGCTTGAGGCAATGCTGAGGCTGGACCCCTGAGGCATGCCCTCGCCCTCCCACAACCAATCCCTTTCTGAAGCCCCCGGTTGCCCTTCCTGGCCATGCTGCCTGAGACCCCAGCCCCCATCTTGTCCTCCCAGCTGGCCATCCCCTCCTGCAGCTCCACCTTTGGGCACCACACCAAACACCCACTTGCCACTGAGCTGATCCGAATCTCGACCTTGCCGCCCTGCTGTATACACAGCAGAATCACTGAGCAAGGTGCACTGGCTGTAATTTAGGAAGCCCACCTCCACCTTTCTCCTGAGGTGGAGCTGTGAGCCTCCAGGGCAGCGGTTCTCAACCTTCCTCCTGCCAAGACCCTTTCATACAGTTCATGTGGTGGTGGCCCCCACACCATAAAATCATTCTTGTTGCTACTTCATAGCTGTCATTTTGTTACTGTGATGAATCAGGCGAGCCCTGTGAAAGGGTCATTCCACCCCTGCGAAAGGGGTCGCGACCCACAGGTTGAGAACCGCTGCTCTAAGCGCTTCGAGTCGGCAGTGAGTGACATACATGTTTTGTGTAACTCCAGAAATGGAATGGCGCCTTCCTGTGCTGGGTAACCTGACGTTAGCCTTGTGACTGCAGGCGACCTAGCGCACACGCTCAGCCCACGGTAAGCACGGGGACCCCACTGTCTGTCTGCACATCCTCACCCACACTTTCTGTATTTTTGGCGCGCTGCTATTTTGAGCCTTCCCCTCGCCCCCCTTCCACGTCTGGGTAGGATTTCTGGGATTGGGCGAGGAGGTGGGAGCTCCATGGAGAGTTCACTTTAGAACCCACAGCACAGCCCACCTTCGGATCCCGCTCCGGGAGGCGACTCTTGGGGGTCCGTGGGTGCAGGAAAAGCGGGGGAGGCCGGGCCATTCCCACTAGCCGCTGCCCCAAGCGGGGGATCCCCGGCCCGGACACGCAATCCTTTCCCGTCTCGCTCCGCCCTACAACGTGGGCAAGGCGGAGCCCCGCCTCTTCCTGGGGGCCAGCCGCCCGGGCTCCGCCCCCGGGGTGGGGGCGCGCCCTCCGTGGGGGACCTGGAAGGGGACCAGGGGGCAGGGCGGGCAGAGGCCCAGGATGGCGCTGGTCCTTGGTGTCCAAAGCGCAGAGGCCAGCTCTGACCGCCCTCAGGGGCTTCCATCCAACCAGAGGCAGAGGGTCCAGCCGCCCGACCCCCCAGCAGCTGTCGTCCTAGAGGAGGGCATGGGGGTGGCCGAGCTGGAGTGCGGGGACCACCCAGCTGAAGGTCGCCTTGGGGAGAAGGGACAGGAGGGGCAGTCCGCAGCCTGGGAGCGCCATCCGGAGGCGGGGGGTTCTGGCGACTTTGAATGAAGTTTTTTGGGGGGGTCTCCGTGGGACCCTGAGTGCACAAAATAAACCCCGAAGGGCGCACAGTGAGAGTGGACCCTCGGG